TCTTTCCATACAAAAGAACTGTTCATATATCTAGCCCTGGAATACTATCAATAAAGCATTACCACAGACTTCTGTCAGTCAAACTAGTTTGATTCCACTCTGACTGTGCTTCCCATTATGGTAATTATACTTGTCCCTGAGATTTTGTGTAGCAACCTGGGCTCTGAAATCTTATTATCTCCATTAGAACATAGTTTACTTCTAATGATGACTTGCAGAGGAGAGCATACATTGACTTTTATAAAAACATCAAATGTCCCCCTTCACCAATGTCAAGTGTTCCCCCTCACAAACATCAAGTGTTCCTCCTCACTACTTTATCATAGTAATGTCTTCTCTGCCCTCTGAGGGAAATATACTTTAGAGATAGGTCCTCTTGTCTAATATCATTCATGCTATGAAGGTAATTATTTCTAATACCTTCATTCCTTTTGACCTTCTCACCAATTCCTCAGTACTCTGGCAAGCAAGTTCTAATATCTTTTATCTCATTTACCATACACAGCCTGTTGCCCAAGCTTCAAGATGTCACCCAGACAGCATAAGTGAAGGCAGCTCTAGGTCATTGACCTCTGAGTCATAAGAATGTACTCCCATGTCAGTGAGTCCTCAAAATCCATTCTAACATGTATTATCCCAGTTCACACAGGTACCTATTAGCCAGTTCCTAGAGCATGTTCTGGATATTCCACCTGAACAGAGAGTGTATTTTGGTCTTGTGCTGTGATAACACCTTACCCTTGCCATGAGTTGGAAGCAATTAAAAACATCAGTGTTGGCCGTTGAGTAAGACAAGCAGTCTTTTCAAGGTAGCTGCCTTAGATGAGGCTATTGCCCTGTTTTCCAGGGACAGGGAGGTTGCTCTCCAATAGTAAGGGTTAGGGGGCTACTTTTGCCAGACTGAGTGTACAGGGGATGATAGGGATTCAATATTTTTGCACTCATTACCATTCTAGGTCTCAGAGGTCTACTCTTTCCTCATTAGGATACATATATTGATATAGAGATCTAAGTGTTATGTGGAAAATTCTGAAAGAGATGGGAACACCAGACCACCTGACCTGCCTCTTGAGCAATCTGTGTGCAGGTCAAGAAGCAACAGTTAGAACTGGACATGGAACAACAGACTGGCTCCAAATTGGGAAAGGAGTACGTCAAGGCTCTATATTGTCACCCTGCTTATATAACTTATATGCAGAGTACATCATGAGAAACGCTGGGCTGGAGGAAGCACAAGCTGGAATCAAGATTGGTGGGAGAAATATCAATAACCTCAGACATGCAGATGACACAACCCTTATGGCAGAAAGTGAAGAAGAACTAAAGAGCCTCTTGATGAAAGTGAAAGAGAGTGACAAAGTTGGCTTAAAACTCAACATTCAGAAAACTAAGATCATGGTATCCGGCCCCATCACTTCATGGCAAATAGATGGGGAAACAGTGGAAACAGTGGCTGACTTTATTTTCTTGGGCTCCAAAATCACTGCAGGTGGTGACTGCAGCCATGAAATTAAAAAGTGCTTGCTCCTTGGAAGGAAAGTTATGAGCAACCTAGACAGCATATTAAAAAGCAGAGACATTACTTTGCCAACAAAGGTCTATCTGGTCAAGGCTATGGTTTTTCCACTAGTCATGTATGGATGTGAGAATTGGACTATAAAGAAAGCTGAGAGCCAAAGAATTGATGCTTTTGAACTGTGGTGTTGGAGAAGACTCTTGAGAGTCCCTTGGACTGCAAGGAGATCCAACCAGTCCATCCTAAAGGAGATAAGTCCTGAGTGTTCATTGGAAAGGCTGATGCTGAAGCTGAAACTCCAATACTTTGGCCACCTGATGCGAAGAGCTGACTCATTTGAAAAGACCATGATGCTAGGAAAAATTGAAGGCAGGAGAAGAAGGGGACGACAGAGGATGAGATGGTTGGATGGCATCACCTACTCAATGGACATGAGTTTGGGTAAACTCCGGGAGTTGATGATGGACAGGGAGGCTTGGTGTGCTGCAGTCCATGGGGTCGCAAAGAGTCAGACACGACTGAGCAACTGAACTAAACTGAAGTGTTATGAATGCAATTTCCATGCAGGTCTGCAACCTTGCAGTTAGAATCAGGGTCTGCTGTTCAGCATTCTGTTTTATGACTGGCAATGAGGGTCTTCTTAATCCAATGCATTAGGGTGAATGACAGGCTGTATATTCCCATTAGACACACAAACCTAGATTACAGATCCAGTTTAGGGCACTCTTAGAGCCTGCCCTAAAAACCACTTGAGGCTGAAATGGATTTCTGAATTCACGCTGAGTTGGAATCCAAACTCATCTATTTCTACATCCCAAATGCCAACTCACTCAAAAGTGAAAGTGAAAGTCACTCAATCATGTCCGACTCTTTGCGACCCCAGGGTCTATACAGTCCATGAAATTTTCCAGGGCAGAATATTGGAGTGGGTAGCCTTTAAGAGGAAAATAAATGTACATTTGAGGCACATCTCCCTTATTTCAATGTATGCCACAATATGAAAAACATCCTAGGAGCAATTTAGGTGCCCTTCCTTTACCCCAAATTAGACACCCAGGAACTCACAAATATAGGGAATCTTGGGGCTCTGTTTTTCAAATACAGACAGTCTATGACATTAAGAAATATTTCCCACTATTATGATGAAGTGTATCGCTATTATGATGAAGAAGTCATCTAAGATGACTAAAGTCATCTGGTTCACTTTAAATCTGGCATCATAAATCCTCAGAGTAGAGTTTTAAACCACACATCGCTTTTTTTCTTGACTCACAGTCGTATGGCTAATTGAATGAATAAATGAATTAGGTAGTAAAGAAAATATGAGAACCAAGGAGATAGAGTTAGCTCCACTGGGAAAATAGAAGGTGGGTACTGTAGGGCTTCCCTGGTGGCTCATAGGTTAAAGCGTCTGCCTGCAATGTGGGAGACCTGGGTTCGATCCCTGGGTTGGGAAGATCCCCTGGAGAAGGAAATGGCAACCCACTCCAGTTTTCTTGCCTGGAGAATCCCATGGACGGAGGAGCCTGGTGGGCTATAGTCCACAGGGTCACAAAGAGTCTCGGACACAACTGAGCGACTTCACTCAATCACTCACTCAATATATTATACTCAAAGGAACACAATATTATAGAGTAAATACAGTGTGTTTTCCCAGGGTATAAGGCCCACATCTACTGTGGTGTTGGTCTGTTGTCAAATGATCTTCAGGATCATGAGGAAAGTATGTGGATCGGTTCAGGCTGTACACCCGACGAGTCTTGGTCATTGTCAGGCAGGAAACAGGGTCTAGAGAATGTTCTGTGGAATCTGAAGCTTATATACTTTTGAAGGTTTTCTTTTAAAATAATACAAAATCAATCACAACAGTGAGTATTTATTTAGAATAAGATAATGTATAACAAGCATTAAGATTATGACAACTGCAATAAGCAAAAATTCCAAACAAATCATGTGTGTGTGTGTGTGTGTGTGTGTGTGTGTGTGTATGCAGAAACACCACTTATGTAGCTGCACAATCTGAAGTATGGTGAAGTGAACATCCAAGGTGAAAGGTATAATAGTTTTATTGAGAAGCAAAACATCAAATTTCTGCAATTTTTACATAAACACAAGGCCATGTGAACACATAACAAAACCCCAGGAATGACATTTGTCTCACTTTGAAAAATGCAGACAGGTTCACATTAAGCCTTTAGGATTTAATTTTACATAAAGTTTTTAAAATAAAATAGCTCTCAATATTTATTCTCACTAAAAGTCTTGTTTCAAGTTAGAATAAACAGTTTATTGACTTCAGACTTTAACTTTCAATTGTGTATTTTTAAACATGTTGGGATAATTGTCATATTTGTCCAGAGAGTTTTTCTGTGACCCATTTCCAAATTCACAGATTCTGGTCCATCTATTCTTTTTAGTAATGTGGAATGATTTACCAGTTGGAAATTATATTATTGAAAGCAACTGGAACTACTGTACAAATAAGCCAGATGATAAAAAATGCTTGATTTGAAGCAAGCAACTCTGTATTTGGAGATACAAGATTCAGAACAAAGTGCTTGCATTTTCTACCAATATTTATATCAACTAGGTGGGCTCTTAAGCAGTCAGTCTGGACTCATACGTCTAGAGTAGCCAGACCATGAATACAATGATTCTAGCTGCCTTCTATATGTGGTCAGAAGGCTATATTAAGATACAGCCAATGTTAGTTATGAAGGCAGCAGAAAGCCTGTCTGTTTTAAGAAACTGTTCTGGCTATTGAACAATAGACACTCCCACACATGGAACTGTAGAATGAATAATCCTGTTCAAGGCTGCCAAAATTATTTTCTGCATGCTGAGATGTTATTCACACACACATTGACTGCATGCAGATAATCCATTTACTTTATTTTTGAAGTCCAGATTGTTTTCTTGCAAAAGCAATTGCACTCAGTTGTAATATATAGCAAAGCATCTCTATCTTTGGTTCTATATCTCAGAGATATTTTTCCAAAAATAAATAAGCATGGCAGGAAAAATAATTCAGCTATCTTAAGAGAAAGTCTAATATTTTATAAAAATTAAGCAAAAATATATAATTGGTGCTTTTTTTCTAATTATCTTGCTTAATATCTCATACCAGTGCAACTTTAATATTAAAACGATTGTGCACACTATATTTAACTATACAGCATAGACACAAAAATGTCAAAAAAAAACAAAATAGTACTTTCCTTTATTAATCATATTGGAATTATGCTTTCTAAAAATGCACAGGAAAGTAGAACTGCTGAAATATGTAAATAATTTGATGTTGAAGAAGTGAAAGAAAAGGAAATGAAGATGCAGCAACAGGTCATAGATGCTAGATATTGCAAAAAGAAGTGAACATATCACCCAAAGTCTCCCATTTCTGGAAAAAAAATGTTAAAATCATTCAGAGAGTTTTCTTTTAAACTAGAATCTATGGAAGCTCCCTGTCACTGGACCCTCAGAAGATTTAATGATCTTCCTTTGTTAACGGTTTCCGCCTCTTTTCAAACAGGATTTTTGAATCAAATAATTCTCTTTCCCTGTATCCTAGAGATGGCCCCTTCAGATACTTTGCTTCTGCTGCCTTGTAATCTAATCCATCAACAGCAGAAATTGAACAGATGATTGCTTCTGGCAGAAGAACTTCCAGGATAAATTTAATTTTATCATCTCTTATCCGAGTCAGCATTTTTTCATCTATTTGTTTGTAGACTTCTTGTAAATATTTCACAACCTCGTCCAACTGATCTTCATCTTCAAAGTATGTTTCAATACAGGGTGTGAATCTATTTGCATTCAAGAATGATTTCAGCCACCTGGACCCTTTCGTGCCATTTAAAATGGCTAAGAGATGGCTCTCTGTTCCCTTTGCATTCACGATGAAGTCCACTAGGTTCTTGTTGGCTCGGTCCCGAGCAGACTTCATTCGGTCTGGAAGAATTTTCTGGAAGGACATTTTCTTGGTCTGGGAAGTCACAGACATTGATCCCCCAGTATTTTCATTTTGCAGCTTTGGAAATAAATTCCTGAAGGTATCCTGTTTGATTATTTTCCTAACTGGATAACTAATGTCAGCAGCGTAATACTCAAAAAATGAGCCTGCAAAAGAACCACAACCTAATCTAACTCTGTAGTCACAAATAAGCGAGATGCACCAGTCAATACTTTCACTGTATTCCTCCCTGGCTTTCTCCACTAGTGCCTGCTTCTCTTTACAGTCAAATTTCTTTAATCTTCTAAAAGGCACTCTAACTCCTCTCTTTTCAGGATTCATATTTGCCTCAACAAAAATCACACTTGCTTTTCTCTCTTTTCGCCTGATGCTTTTTATCACTGATGGCCAAAATGGATATTTTTGATACTTAAACCAGACAATCATCCCTGTTTCAAATGAACGTTGCTCATAATGAAAAAGGAAACGTGGAAGTTCTTCATCTTCTTCATCATCATCTAATATGGATGCAGCAATCGAACTTACGCGTGCTGACTTGTCAGAAGCTTGAAATTCTTCCTCAAATTCCTCAAAATCCAGTCTCTGAAGATTTCTTTCATTACTCCCGAGGAGTGAATAATCCCCGGAATGGCTAGAGGCACTAAATGAAACCTGATGTTCCCATGAAGAAGGCTGAGGTGTCTCTGATTCCACAGTAGGTTGATTCTGGCTGCTAACTGAGCATGGATCAGAGGGACCCTCTCCAGGATCTTCAATATTCTCTGAGAAGGCAGAGCATTCAGAGGATGCGGCCAGGGCCTCTGGGTAGATGTTTTCTGGCTCCTCTTTTAAAGCTTTGGGCACAATGAAACTATCTGACGGTAAAGTTGGACTGAATTTTTCTTCTTTAACATATACATCTTCCTCTTTAATTGTGGAAAGTAAAGGCAAAATTGAGAGGTCAATCTTTTTCTTGCTCTCTTTTTCATCCTCATCTTCTGAAAGTGAAGGGAAACTCTGGCACCAGCTGAGGTTTTGTGATGATTTTGTTTCCATTTCATTTGGAATACTAGCAATCATTGCACGCACCTGTGATTTATCATCATACAGAAAATCATCACTCTCTGATGATACTAACAGGGTTGTTGAATTTTCATTTTCCTCCAGACACTTTGGTAAGTCTCCTTCTCCTTCGTGCTTCCGATACTTTTTATGAGGGGGTGAATCAGATGGCTTTTGTGGTATGTTTTGAGACAGTATAGTGGTCTCTTCATCATCTGAACTGCTTGCTTGAATCAAATTTGTTCTCTCATTCAGAATATCCAGTGCCATTTTTAGTGACCTGGCATAGGCTGTTTCCTCTCCAGGTGGGTCACTGACCTCTGACTGTGCGGCTAGTGAGGAAACAATAGCTTCAACTTGAGATTTAGTTAGGATCTTTGTTTCTGTGCTTTCCATTTGAATTTTTTCATCCAGTGAGAGTATTTGAACTTCCAGGGAAAATACCTTTTTTCTCTTACTATTTGATGAAGCCTCAGATCTGGACAAAACTTTTGCTGGCCATAACTGGTCTTGCCAATTGCATAAGACATACTCAGCATCCATTATGATTTAGATTTATGTGCCAAGAGGTTAATATCAGAGACTTATGTGTCTGGCTATTCTTGTCACTGTGAAGGAAGTCCCTACCACAAACAATACTTTGACCAGTGCCCCTTTTAGAACTACAAAGAGTTACAGAGTGTTTATAGCTTGTGTGGCCTGTTCTCCTCCAGCTGAACTTCCCAAGGATGCTTGAACACGTTGTTTGAATGGACAATATGGAAGATACTGAAATAGCAAAAAGGAAAAGAAGAGTATCAGCAAATAAAATTATTTTGCCAAAGTAGGTGAGCAATTGCAAATAGAGAAGAGACAGACGAAAGGACAACACTCAGTGGGGCATCAGATGGAGGAGGAAAATGCAGAATAATATAAGGTGGAGGATAAGAACTGGAAAAGTGTTTTTATAACATCTCAAAGAACTTACTTTCATTATTGCACATGATTATTAAAGTGTGACTCTATGTGCATGATGACAGAAGTGGTGTGTCAGAAACTCTATGTATTAGACATTTTGGGACTGGTGCCCCTAATATTATACCTAGAGAAGCAGGACTCTGAACTAGGTGTGCATCAAACTCATCTGGAGAATTCTTAAAACTAGATTTCTAGGCCCTGTCCTGAGAATTGTATTCAGATGCTCTGGATAGGATCCAAAGTTCTGTACTTCTAATAAGTTACCAAGTGATGCTGACACTACTTGTCTAAGAACTCTTTGGAAGCACTGTTCTAGCTAAACACACAGCTTTATAATTTTTAAGCTGTAAATGTTTCCCTATCTACCCAAAGCAGGCAGACAAAGATAATAAGGTCTGTACCTCTTGGACCTAGACCACAACACGATGACCTTGTTAATAGCATGAGCTTAGAAGGCAGAGATTCAGAATGGCTGCCAGGTTCACATATTGGATGGGGTAATTATCAAGGATTTTTTGAGAGTCAGGTGGCTGGCTAGGACTTCAGGTAGAAATCTGATTAGTCTCTGGCATGAATTCTTCATAGCAGTTTGACACATGAGATTCCTCCCCCAAAGTAGAAGATATTACTTTTAATTACAAAACATTATGGCTACAGAACAGGGAGCAAAGTGAATTACACCTTAAATTCTCAACCTAACATGATTTTAGTATAAAATATAGTTTTTAATATTGCTAAGGCTTTAGAGAAAGAAGCAAAATAAATTATACCCTGAGTTCTCAACACGTTTTTAATGTGTTTAAGTATTTTGCAGAATGAAAAGAGCCTTACCCAATGTCACGTGGATCAGGAAGGGTCTGGCTTTGTGATCTGGTTGTCTTGATTCTTACTGCAAAAAGAGACAGGCTGTCTAAAAGGAGACAGGGAATTAAACTAAGTGGCCAAGGCATAAAGAAACTTTTCTACCAAAACGTTAGTACACATGTCATTCAGAAACACAGGAATGAAATGAAATCTTATCTATGATGTAGATGTTTATTGTCCTCCTTGTTTATATTAACTTCTGAGTGATACAGTTATGATATCTGGTTCATGTTTAAATCATATTTCTCAGGAAAATTGTGAGGCAAAGACAAGAAAGGGAAGTAACAATTGCCTTGTGTCTACTGTGCCCTTCCCTGATGGCTCAGAGGATAAAGAATCTGCCTGCAATGGCGACACGGGAGACAAGGATTTGATCCCAGGAGAAAATACCCTGGAGAAGGAAATGGCAACCCATTCCACTAGTCTTTCCTGAAAAATCCTATGGACATACGAACATGGTCGCAAAGAGTCAGACATGACTGAGCGACTAAACACATACACACTACTATGAACAAGACTACAGGTTTTGTTTGAATCCTCAAATCAACCACTATGAGAATTTTTCCTCTTTTACACATGTAATTTTTTTCAACAGAATTTTATTCACACTCTACATGCTGTCTCACAGTTCACTCACAAAATATGTTTCATTGCTTTATTGTCCACTTCGTAAAAATGGTTGCCTGGAGAAAATTTAGGAAATTCGGCCACCGCCATCTTGTGACCAGAAGCAGAACTGCAGATTTTGCAAGCGCTATATGCAGAGCTTCAGTTGCTCAGATTTTTCTTATGAGAGAAGGATCGGAACTACATTTAGCCAGTCAGGAGCCTTTCCAGGCTTATAGAACTTTCTAAGTTCAAAGGGTTTGCTGTGTAGGATAAGAGGATCATAATGTCTTCAACTATAATGTTTCTGATTATAAAACATGCTGCTGCTGCTAAGTCGCTTCAGTCGTGTCCGACTCGGTGCGACCCCATAGACGGCAGCCCACCAAGGCTCCCCCGTCCCTGGGATTCTCCAGGCAAGAACACTGGAGTGGGTTGCCATTTCCTTCTCTAATGCATGAAAGTGAAAAGTGAAAGTGAACTCGCTCAGTCGTGTCCGACTCTTCTCGACCCCATGGACTGCAGCATACTAGGCTCCTACGTCCATGGGATTTTCCAGGCAAGAGTACTGGAGTGGGGTGCTATTACCTTCTCTGTATAAAACATGCATAAGCTTATTAAAAATCGAAAAGATGCAAAAAGATGTAGGTAAAACTAAGTACAAGCCTCTATATAAATAATCTGAATATTTTCCATTTTCCAGACTTTTTTACATTTATAGATAAATGCATATCATTTCAAAACAACATCAGATCTCAATAAGAGCAGTCTGAACATTATTCTACCTAAGTGTTTTTCACATGATTTATTAATTACTTTAAATGAATTTTTTCTCACATTTGTAACATTTTATCTCAGTATTTTTCCTGATGATGTAAACAAGTAAATGAGTAAGAATATATTAATACTCTAAAATTAGGCAGCAGTAAAGCTAGTCCTGTCTCTCCAACTACACAAATAAACAGTCGTTAATAGTATGGCAGGTATGTTTTCCCAGAATTGGCTGCATGAATTATATAGTAGCATATATATGTTCTGTTAACACACATATTTAATTTTGTGAGATAATGTGACAATTGTATGTTACAGTTTACTTTTTTCACTTTATTTCTCAGACATTTCAAATCTGTACATGTAGAGATTTACATTTTTATTTTCCAGACACATAGTATTCCATTGTATGGATGCACCATGCCCTATAATATTTCTAAAAACTGCTAATAGCAATAAACCAAACCCTCTGTCTCATTCTTAAAAAACTTTAAAGATACAGAAAATGGTTATTGCTGACCACAGTTATACCTGTGATCTGAAAGAATGAGTTGCAAAGAAGATACAGACAGGGCTGTAGCCAACACAGCAACTAGGCTTGATTAGGTCCAGGAAAATTTCCACTATTGGCAAAAGATGGGGGGGTATATCTGCATGTCTGTGTGTGTCTATGAATGCTTACGTGTTTGGAGCAAACTGGATTTTTAAAAGTAATCATGGGGAGATGCTGATATTGGCTAAGAATTAATATTAAAATAGTAACTTGACTATCCAGAACTGCTGAATAACATGGGAGCTTCTTTTCTCCCCGATTTTTTAAATCATGCGAATACACATGCATATATATGTATAAGTGTCTTCACTCAAATACATACTTGTTCCCCTTTCCATGCTCATGTACAGGTGACACACACATAGTCTATGTCCCAATCAAATTATAGAAGTATTTCCCCTCATGCTGCCATACATTTTTATCCATTATTTTCTGTGTAAATTAATAAATGCTTAAACATTCAAACAGTAACAGAATGTCTAGCAATATAAACATGGAATGCCAAGTCAATAAATTAGCATGAATGCCCATGCTGTACTGAAGTCTTAATATAGAGGCTGTAATCTGATCACTCCTTCTTCCACTTGTAGACTTTTAAAGGATTGGGAGATACACAAATTCCAAAGGATTAATTCTTTCAAAATGCCAACAATTATCTCAAACCCACACACCTTTCCCACCACTTCAACACCACTATTCCTGTTTCTCTCATCTTCATCCTAGGGTCCTGAGAAATCCCTATAAAATAACTAGATTTAAGACAGCCATTACCTTGGAGCTTCTTGTCAGCTGCAGACCGGTGAAATGCTGCTCCTCCCCCAAGACTGGCCAGGCACAGCTCACTCTGAAGCCTCTCAGAGAATGCTGTGCCCCCTCCCTGTGATGAAGACAGACGGTCCTTCTCTGAATTAGGGGAGGGAGAATTGCCAGATTAAATTGCTGAAGTATAAAAGGGTAGAAATGTTCCTTTTTAAATAACTTGAAAGTGAACTAGCAAGAAGTGTCTGTTAATTTCCCTTAGGGTGGTGATTTCTTGAAAAAAAAAAAAAAAGGGTTGTACATCACTTCACTTTAAAAAAAAAGTCTGATTTAAACTATTTCACCATGTTTTTTTTTTTTTCTTGCCTTCTCTGCATCTTACCTTGGTAGATAAATTTAAAACCCAGCTGGTCATGCTTCATTAAAATAGTTCACTAAGGATGTTGATTGGGATCGCACTAAAACTGTACACTGTTTTAGGGAACATGACTTATAATCTTTAAATCTGTTTTCAGGACATGGTATGTCTCTCCTTTTATTGAGTTCTTTTCTTAAATGCTTCAGAAATTTCCAGATATATCTTCAAGGAACATGGATATTTCTGACCAGAGGCTGGAAATCACTGGTTTGCAGGCAAATGCCCATTTCATATACCCTCATCAATGACTGGCAAATCCTCCTTCTTATATTTTATTAGTAATTTTCACTCACACAAATCAATGTGGGGAAAATTAATTTTTAAAAATTTACTGTATTTGTTTTTCTGTATGTATGAAACATATCTTGCACATTTTGTTCATTAAAATTCTCCTGTGTTAGATTAAAATTCAGCTGATTTAACTTAAAAAGCTAATTTAAAGTATTGCTAGGGATAATTTTAGAAGTGAAAATATTTGGGAATGAAGTGTTTTATTTGACTTCTGTATTATCTAATACATATTTATAAATTTATTGTTATATATTTTATTTTATATAAAATTTATATAAGCTAAATAAACACATATATGTAATCTTTTATTACAGTAGAAAAGGT